GAAGATGCAAATGTTGAACCCGAAGAAAATGAAATAAACACAGTTTCTCAAAAAAGTATCTACTTAAAATTTTGGTTGATATTCGAGACTTAAGTGAAAGTGATAGTGACAAAGTCGGATGATGATAGCAATATTTTCTATGGATTTCTATGGAATTGAATAACACATGTAATGACATTTGCTGCTGCCATATTTTATTGTTGCCGTCAAGATAACAAACAATCAAACAATTTTATGATCGTCTAGTTTATTCGCTTTATATCGCGTTTTTAAAGATTGCTTAGCATAACTAGAAAATCGGATTAAGAAATGGTCAATTTGATGAATTGAGCAGACGAATCTGTTGGAAAAACTTAATCAACTTGTTTATTGAGATTTCAATTATTATCAGTGCTCTTTCTTCCATTCTGCCAATATCGATGAATTTTTCCATAAAACTTTTAAAGATTCATGGATTTTTAATAATCAACGAAAAGCAGAAGTTGCTAAAGTGTTTTTATCTCCGGTCGAGTGATTATTTCAGCAGATATTGGAATTCGGATGACACTAAAAGTCCACCTCTATTCCTAAATGATTCTCTACCGAATAGCTTTTATTTTCATAATCACCGAGTTTAGCCAATTAGAAAACTGGTAAGTTATGCCAGAAATAATAAAATGAAGCTTCTGAATGTTACCTTGTAGCACTGGAAAATTTTCTCAATTTCTTAACTTCTCAATTTCTGTGATCATCGTATTGACCTTTAACATTTCTTAAGAAATGCGATGTTGAAAAAATGTGATTTTATATCAAGATGATAGCACACATATACTGTAGTTTTCTTTATTCGAATCTTAGCAATTTTTTTTACAAAAAAATGTCGAATCCGAAATAAATAAATTTATAAATATCTATCTATCTATCTAATAGACAATAAATAATGTTATTTTTCTTGTTTCCCTCTGGAAAAAGATATGTGGATATACATATCGATAAATATTTCCACAATATTCATTTAGCGATTCTTTAAAGAAGGATAAAACTTTCAATTTTTTCTCGTCTGAAATGAGGTGAATAAACCAGAATGAATCAAATAAAATTGAAAAACACCTGAATGAACCACATAGGAGAAGCATCTTACATGCAATGAAAAGCAATGAAAACCATCATAGATTTTTGTCTATGACATTAGAAGTGAAATCCGGGGAATATCATTTTCTTACGAAAGAATCTCGTCCTAGTAGCCAGTACAATCAGCTAAATTAAGAAGAAATATGTGATTTTCGACTAAAGTAGAAAGAACATTAAGGAATTTACGATTATTTCAAATATGGCATTCGCGAATATGTCCGGGAAAGATCAACATTTCTTTTGAAAGCGCAAAAATATTCGATGTGAGCAATCTTACTTTCCGATTTCTGAAACATTATGATTATACAATATGACTCGATATTTTAGCACCCTTCCCAGTACCATTTCTATTCTCTTTCTTCCTGTAATTTAGGAGAGATCTAAGCCTCTAAATTTGCTAAGTTATTTGCTTTGCCAAGACTATGTGTCCGAGAAAAAATCTATTTCCTCCAGAATTTGATATAGTCACGGAAAAATGGTTTTCTCCATCGACCTCATCCTAGAAGCGTGGCTCATCGAACTTGCTTTATCTCTAAAGTTTCGTTTCTCGATATTATGCCTCGTTGAAATACATTGAGTCTGCGTTTCATTGATGCTTAATGGAAATCTGTCGTATTGTTTTGCCGCAATCCATTATTCTAAATTTGATTATATGATTTTAATCTCTTAGGAACCATTGTAGCCCTCATTAAATCGGTTCAGCGCTTAAGATCGTTTGATAAAAACCTGCCATGTGTTGCGAAAAACTTCCTTAAAATCGCCGAATAATCTCTTAATACCCAAAGCCTATCATCTGATAACTGGAATCCGTTAGGCAAGAATTATGAAAATTCGAGAACATAAGGGAATATAGAGGATTTTGAGGAAATCTCAATGTATTAGGTTTCAAAATACAATTCATCCTGTTTAAAACTATGAAAAAAAAAAAAAAATTACTGATAATTTGTGGATATGAATATAAATTTTACATAAATTGATGGATAATCGAAAATTATTTTCAATTGACTTAACGGTTTTATCGTTTGTTTAACAGCTTTATCAGTTCTCGCTTTTATGTTTAAACTTCTAACTTGTGTTCCTTTAAATCAGCCAGTTATTAACAAGGAATAAGATTTCCCACAGAAACCTCTATGATCGCTGGTCAAAGGAATTCTTTTGGACCGGAAAACCGATAATTAATTTGAGTAGGAATTTTAATTTGCTTAAATGATATTTCTGGCGGCCTCATAAAACTGATCGACTCTTCCACGATACAATTTTTTTAATGCCCAATAAAGTGCGTAGGAAAAGAATCGCGAAAAAATAAAAAGTATCCGGAATGCTTTATCACCTATAACAATGAGTAAGAAAATGAAAAACTCCGGCCGAAGCCCAGTTTTGTATTCTTTCCCATCCAAATGCATATATTCCCGGGAAATTATCGATGCCGATTTCCTAGAAATACGAGAAAAGAAGGCGGAGAAAAGCACAAGAGGCGAACGTTTCGACAGAATTTATATCTGTGACACGTTGTCGTTTTGTAAAATAAGCAAAGAGGATTTCGGCGGAGAAGTGCCAGAAGATGAGTGATTTCGAGCAGTTTTATAGCGATGTTGGTTGTTTTCATTTTTTTCAAATAATATTTATTAATGCAAATTGAAATTTAGCAATTGCACTTGGAATATTGTTGCCAATTAACAATAGTTTTCCACTTAATAATTAATCGTTTGTTTGTTTATTTAAAATAATTTTAATTTAGCGAAATTAATTTTTAATAAATTTTTCTAATTTCAGTCATTTAGCCACTTTCTAATCAAAAAATATTTATCTTTTTAATTGGCTACTAATGTGCAAAAAGATCGAGAAAATTAGAGTTGTTTGCTTCAGTGGAGATTTTTTCGCATTAATTTATTAGGAATGGGCGTAGCGAGCGAGGCGATCACCGCCCACACTCCGTGAAATATCGCGTGGATAGCTTGCCTGTTGGGAAACCCCGCCCCTTTTATTGTTTCGACAGCAGCAGCACGGCCTGGTTTTAACAAGAACTAGATGTACTGAAATGGTGTTTCGGATAACTCAGAAGTCGCCGTTGTCAAATCGAAGAGAGCATGGTCAGATATAATCGCGAGGAACCCTGCTAATAATCGGTTACGCTTTAAAGACAAGATTTGCAATATCTCAGTCGTCAGTCGTTTATGGTCCTGCGCCGTGCATGGATAATCTGGATAAAGATTGGTTCTGCGCTGAGCTTGATTTTTTAACGCCTCGGACATAATGCCGAATGCCCCACTGTAATCAGAAAGTATGGCATTGGAGTCTGGTGCACGGCGAAGATGTCTTCTTCGCTTTGCGCTTCGTTTGAGAAACGTGAGCTTTTGTCAGTAATAAGTGCTTTCAATATTGCAGTGTATATCTAGTTGCTACGTTGAACCTCACCAGGAAGTCAGCATTTAAATCAGTCAGTGGCCGATTGGTCAATGGCCGATGGAAGAATATGGATGTCTCAGAGACGAAACTTGCAACTTCTACAGGTCCATGTTATGGTTAATTTCAAGATTCGAATGAAACTGACAGCTGAACATGCTAAGATAAACGACTCGGAAGAAAGCTGAGCTGAGCTTCAAAACAAATTGTCCAACCACGCAGTCATAGCAGTCAGGTGATGCTAGCCATCTGGAGATGCGTCAATTGTTGCAGCGAAACCAGTCTAAAGTCGATAGTGAGATGATTTGAATATGGAGAAAGCTCGAGTAGCGCGATCATTGAAAAACATTTCTTCTATTTCGCAAGATAACCGAGACTCAAGAAATCGTTCGTAAAATTATCTGAAATAAGATGGAATCCAGTTAAGACCGTCAAAGATCGCCTCTTCTCACGGAAATCATTTGAAAACAACTATTTCAGATCATCCAACATCCCAGATTTAACTGGAACTAGCATTTAAAGCCATACAATTGTAACAGCAAATCACCAGTCGACCACGAGATTATCCTCGTTCACAAATTATTTTTTCCGATGGAGGTGGATGGAGGTGAGCTGAACTCTTTAAATGCTTCTTTCCTAAAAATGCACTGGTATCGAAGCAGTAAATGTGACTGAAACAAGGCAATTTTTTTGCAGTTCTCAAGAAAAATAATGGGGCGCACTGCGGTAATTATTGAGGAATTATTGTGCTAGATGAAACTTACCGGAAACTTTTTTCTTCTCTTCTGCTAAATAGACTTATAGCGTGATAGCATGGTGTATTTTGACCAATGTTTAGCGAGAAATATGGCTAACAAAATTTTCGGAAGGAGAAGGATATTAGAATATTTTCAAGCTACATTTATTTGCTTCATCAATTTCACGGTTGCTTTGACTCGATCAACAAGACGTCGATCTGGCAAATCATACAACACAATGGTGTTTCAGAAAAGATTCAGACTTGTCACAGCATTTTATCGGCGTGTATCAGTGCAGGTATATTCAGCATATTTCAACACTCATCTGTCCAGAAGAGCGCATTAGGGATGCTACGCAAATCCTTCAAGCCTCCAGGCCTCTGTTAGACCATTCGAGATTGAAGATGATTTACTATCTATTGGGAGTAAGAAATTTATATCGAAATTACATAAAAACTTAAAGACTTCACGCGCTCGTCCACGTACTATAGATATATACAATTTCATTTTACAGTTTTATTTAGTTTAGAAAAAATATATAAATAAAATTTATCTGTTTACTTTTTATAACATTTTTTTTTTTGTTTTCTATAAGTGGAATGGTAATGGTAATCCAAGATTTCCTTCGGTACAAGATTTTAATAACGACTTTACTGTAAACTGTTCCCGATGTCTTTTTTCAGGATTTTTCCCTCTATTTTATTTCTTATATTATAATATATATGTTTTATGGATATGAAACATTTTTAGTTGAAAGAAACGGAAAAAAAGGATGCCGTACTTACTTCCAAACAACAAATCGATCGTCTTCTGCGACCAGGATCTACTTATCTTAATTTAAATCCATTCGAGGTTTGTTATTATCATTTACTATCATTTCACGGAAGGATTCAGTTGTCATAATCAGGCGGTTGATTAAGTTAAAATTATTTTGAATGGTCCTAATTTGATTTGAACTTTAGTTATTGATTTAAATAAACTGTCTATCCATTGTTTATTTTATCTCTTTGTGCATATGATTTGAAATAGATAGCAAAAGACGTTTTTTTTATACATTTTTTTATATAGAGAAAATATATTTTAAAATATAAAATATATCCTTGATTGTCCCAGTATAGAATATTCTGGCTTCATGTGAATATTTGGTTTAATTCTTATAGAAAATTTAACTCTTATAGAAAAAAATATAGTTTGTTTTAATATTTTTTCAGGTGCTTCAAATTGATCCAGATAGCGATGTCGATGTTGCTAAGAAAAAATATAAAAAAGTAAATTTTTTTAAGAAAAATCTATAAAAATAAATTTGTTCGTTGATATTCATCTAATTTCGGCAGAAATTGGCAACAAATTTAAAATTATTGTCAGCAATTCAGAGAGGAAGTTTCTCATTCCTTTCTTTTTATTGAATTTTTTAGAAATTTTTTGTTTTCAGTTGTCACTTCTAATCCATCCCGATAAAAATGCTGATGATCGTGATCGTTCTGAACGGGCTTTTGATAGTTTGTTTTATTTTAATGATTTATTATTCGTTTAATTCCAGGCTTTTTATCACAGATTTAAATTTTCCCGGCATTTTCATAATTTTTAAAATTATTCATTTTTTATGGATAAAACAACGAATATCACAAAGAAAATTGTGAAGAAACTCTTTTTTTAAGCACTTATCGTTAAGTTAGATTTACTTTGTTTACTGTGTTGACAGATTTGCCAAGGAATTGCTTGGCGATCGAAATACTGCTGAGTCACCAGCCTTACCCGGATTCTTCGACAGGTTTGCTCTTGCCAGGAGTAAAACTTCACCGTCGGCGGTTGAGCCCACTGAGGCACTCTATTCTCTACTGCTTGCTCTATTAGGCCACCCCGACAAAATGAATTGAACCATACCTCGACCTTCGCCCATCTTGTGAAGAAATTTAATTTGAAACTTAATTGTATTTGAATATTTCTCTTATTTCTGCTGCACTAACTTAAAGATAATTTCAGTTGTAAAAAAGGCTATGAAAATGATTGAGGATCCTGATGAGCTTGCAAAGTGTCGAGAAACATATGCAGAAGCCCGAGCCCGTTTAGCAGTTATTGTAAATACATTTAATAAAATACATTTAATAATAAATAAAAATAATAAATAATAATAAATTAATAATAAATAATAAAGTTGAAAAACCTTATTTTAATAGTGAAACATTCAAATATATTGCTTCATTAAAAAGGTTCAGACTAAATGAATTTTAGATGAGCGAGAAGCGTCGAAAACAGAAGAAAAATGGTTTAGGTGACAAAATTCCAGAAGATGATCCTGATGCATATAATAAAGCATTATGGATTGTTGTAACGAAGGTAATTTAATTGTTTTTATGCCATATCTTTTTCACATTTGTTGCAATTAACTAATAAATAAATTAGTATTATAGGTATTATATATATTATAGGTATTTGCTGATCGTGAAAAAAAGAGAAAAATGCTAGAGGAGAGGGCCAATGACGAAAAGTTGGTTTTATCGATAAATTTTTCATATTTCTTTTCTTATATAATTGTTAATTCTGGTAAAAATCTACAAATTAAAAATTCTCAAAGTATTTTGGGAAAGAATAATTAAAAATAGATAAAATTATAAAATGATGCAATGATTTAATCGATCGTCAGAAATATTCTCGATTCAATCATTAATGATGGATATGAAAACCATGTTATGAATTTTTCATAGGCGTCGAGCTGCTGAAGAATTGCATGCAGCAGCAGAAAAGCGAAAGAGAGAAGAAGAATTTGCCAAAAATTACGAGGTAGCTTTTTTTTCATTTTTACATCAAATTTATATAAACATTTATAAATATGTATATATATATTTAAAAAAATATTCATTTATAAATACTTTTTCTATATTTTATACTACGATCCAATTTAATTTAAGGATCATTTAGTTTTTTGCAGGGAAAATTTAATCAAAATACAGGCACAACTCATATATGAGTGTATAAAATTGGCTAGATAATCATATTTTACTTTACAGATTTTTTTCGTAATTTTTCATTTTAAATAATTCAGTATTATTTGGCTAACATAAATATTATTAAGGAATCGCGCGATGAACGTCGTGGTACTTGGCGTCAATTCATGGCAAAAAAAGCGAAAAGGGAAGGTGAGGGGAAATCTTTGCGAGGAACAGCATTTCGCCCACCTAAAATCAAATTGGAAACTAGCGGAAAATAATTCTTTGATCTCTAAATTTGTTTGGTTTCTTCGATTAAATCATCTCTTTGGTTACTTACCTGATTTATGTTTTTAAATTATTTTTTTTAATGCTTTTTCACATATTTCGTTTGTAATTTTATAAATATTGTTTTGTGTATTTGTAAATGATTATATTTTATATTTATATTATTTATATTATGGTCTGAATGATTTACAAATATAAATATATTCTTTAAAAATAAACAAAATTTTGTTTAAATATGTTATATGTTATTTAAATAAGTATATATAAACAAGTTATGAAAAGTTGATGAGCATATGCGTTTATAATGGTTGTTGTTTCAAAATAATAAGGTTTAAACCTTAAAATTGCCTGGATCCCTGGATAATTGATGAAATTAATCGACAATTAATACAGTGCATTACAATTATTAAAATAATTCGAAAAGAAATATGAAATTTGTAAAACGTAAAAAATTTACAAGGTTGATAATCACAAATAGAAATTTCCAAACCATTTGTTAAAAATTGAAATGGAATTACCCTATAGTTTAGGAAATTTCCATCGAAACTAAATAAAACCTGTTTTACGGAACGCTTACAATAGGTGTACTTATCTTCCACCTAAAACTAAATTAAAAATTATCTAGCGAGAATTATCCCATCAAAATTGGACATGAAGAACGCTGTTTTGGATACTTTGTAGACGGTAATTCCATTTTGGGAAATTTCACTTTGTAGAACTATGGAACAGTATGATTTGGAACAGTAAAAGCATTGCAGAAATATTTTGATGGACTGAATATGGATAGTTAACGAGATTATAATCAAATTTATGCTTTGGTTCTGCTCGGATGGTCCTTGAAGCTTTCTACTACGATGGAAATCTAGTCTGGCAACGTTCTATCATAAAATAAAAAATGCAGAGTGATATTTCCCCATCCTCGTTATTTACAGTATTTATTTATTAATATTTGTAGTAATTGAGGCAGTAAATACAAATGCAAGGCAATATATCGGAAATTGGAGAACTTTAAGTTTATATCTGAAACTGAAATAATCCTTTAAAAAAAATCGCATATATATTAAGATATTAAGATATTAAGATAAAATCGCATATCAAAAGAGGCCCATGGATTTGTTCCTTGATGTAAGTGAACGTCATCAGCAAAAAATCAAAATCAGGGTGGTGCTTGGAACTCATCCACTATTCTTTTTCCAAATGAGGCTCCGACAAAGGCATCGTTAGTCAAACAAATCGGAAAGTGAAGATGATAACGATGGTGATGATAAAGACAGTGATAAGCCAGATTTATTAATATATAGCATATTTTTCGTAGAAACGTTTAATCCACCATTTTGACCTAATTTTCATTTCATGAATGCAGTAAATGTTTTGCAAAATTCTTTCTTACGACTTATTTTATTTTTTACAGTCGAATTATGAAGTCTTTAAGGCGAATATCGTCAAATTCAACAAATTCGTACTTTTCGATCGGCAGAAAATTTGAAGAATCATGGTTTGGATTTTGGCAAAGATCGTCGCCAACTTCGAAACCGATCGATTAAATTCAATGGTTTTAAATTGGCACACTTATTTTCCTCGAGCTGCAAGATCATATTTTAGAAAACGAAAAAAGATTAGAGGTTCCCTACTAGAAAAAATTCGACATCCATATTCCTTCGAGCCCTTTCAGTTATATTTATAAGCATATTTTTTGAATCATAAATTTTTGGATTATACTGATAAATACGTGTAGTTGATCAAACAGAAGACTCTTGAAAGAAAGAGGAAGAATCTTTGCCAGGAGAGAACAAAAAAAAAGAAAGGAAATTTTACTTCAGAATCGACACCCATCTCGAGCATTCTTCGTCGTGAGAATCGACGAATTGCAGCATGAAAATCTGACGGTTCTTCTTCTTCGCTATTTGAATTAGACGGCTTAAAATTAAAAGTTCAATTTAGCTTGAGACTTTTCAAGAAGGGAGGACGAAATAGAATTTCCAGAATAAAATCGACAACTGAACCCATCCCAACGATAGAAATTGCTAGAATTGCTAGCATCCAGAATTACATGCATTAATTACTCACAACAACTGCTGTTGTTGTTGTTGTTGTTTACGAATCAGTAGAAGTATATTAGCATTTCCATGAGGTTAATATGTCTACATAAAGCGAATAAATTCATCATAGCAATCGACAGGAAATAAAATAATCAGCCAAACCTCATTCTCGATGCTGGAGTTACTTTTCCTTTTCGGCTTACTCGATTCCCGTATCTCAGCTATTAAACCGACGAGTAATTCATCGACGTGATGATTTAATGCAACAGATATTTCATAGTGTGGAACTCCGTAAGTCAAAATGGCGTTTTTGGCATCTTGAAATATCATTTACAAGAAATATCAAGTCAACCTTCTCATTTTCACTGTTAGACTCATCAAAAGATTTAATGGCTATCTGAAATAAAATCAACCTCCTTTCTTTACTGAACGTTTCCTTTCCAAATCAGCTTTATTTCCAGTTATGACAACTGGCTTATGCTTTGTTGATTCAAATTCCCTTAATCTTTTCAGTATGGAAAGAACTTCTCTTAAACTTCCACGAGAATCTATGCTGTACAACAACAAATACAAATTAACATCCGAATAAAGCCACGAATCGTCCTGAAACTAAAGGATATTTTATTTTTATTTCTTAAGGTAATGCATCAGAAATTCGTTAAAAGTAGTTAACGCAATGTGTTCTCTAGGCATCTATCTTAATTCAACGATCTAGTGAAAAATCAAAGAATACGATGAGGGTGAATTTTTGATTAGTGCCAGTTTTGCTATAATATTGTTTCTTTTTTCTTCTGGGTCTTCATTTTTAGAATGATCTTTAGAATAACCGAGTAGACAATAGATAGTAATTTAGATTATCATGTTGAGAAGTAAAGGCTCTTGCCCACTGGAATGAACATGTCAATAGAAAAATCCAGTGGTAGTGCATACCTTTTGCAAATCTTTAGCAAAAATTTTTAATGGTACTAATAACCACTGGGCGCTTAACTAGAAACAATGAATGCTAACCACTTGCTCTTGTCTAACATTTGACTTAAATATCCAAATAAAGAAAACCAAAAAATTTATAAAGTGTTACATTTGAATCTGCTTCATAAAATGTTAATTCACTTTCCTGGCCGCCAATATTAACTGAGACAAAATTATCGTATTCTTCTGGAAATTTTTCAATTTATAAATATTTTAAATTTTCAGTTTTTCAAAAAAATAAAGTAATTCCAATCTAAATAACGATAAACAAAATTATTGATGAAAGTTAATTAATATTAAAACTCGTAAATTATAAGTTATCTCTTTAAAAAAAAAAAAGGAAAAACCAACGTAAATCGCAGATTATACCTTAAAAAAATCAAAATCTATAAGATATCGTTTAAAAGCCAACCTATTTCTGTGGCAAAAGTATTTCGATATTCCGAAGTAATGAACTGTCCGATTAAAGCAGATTTACCAGTGCCTACAGCCCCGACTATATAAATCTGAAACATTTCCCAAATTTCAAATTTTATTTGAAATTCATTCGAAATCATCATTAACAAAATAGGAATGAAATAGAAAAAAAATAGAAAACTTGTAACCTTGTAATGATGGCTTGTCGTTGGACTATCATTGGAAATTTTACCATCATTACTACTTGTACTACCGGCTCTCGAATTAGGATCATAAGAAATACTTTCCGAATCTCTGGGTCTCGGCGAGTTTCTGTGTTCTGATACTGGAAAAAACATGACTAAAATGTTTTTTCGGTTCAGTCAACACCAAAAATAATAGAATTCACTATAATTCATAATGGAAAACCAAATGGCTGAAAGACAATACACTAAATTCACATTTTTACCTATCTTCTATAAAAGTGTTGTAATATTTTTTGAACTTTACAAATTTTATAATAAACTTCACAAATATTGGAATTCAAACAATTAAAGTGAACTAATATTTACATATATTTATGATTGGAGAATAAATGATTAATTAATTTTATAAATTATAATTATACTTTTGCTCATCTTCTTTAATCGAAATGAATCTCCTCGGCTAACAACAGCACCTTTTTCATCGATTTTAAATTGTCGTACTCTTGTATAATCTTCAGAATCAGGTAACCTCAAAAAACGTTCCTCAATAACGCTGGATTTTGGTTCGGGCCAAACATCGGTACGCATTGATTCATTTCGATTCCTTAACCAATAATTAAAAGAAAATATTTCATTAAAATTTCAAAATGATAATTTTACATAAATAAAATTTTTTCTTGTAACTGACTGATTCATGCTTAATTTTGCAATGAAAATCCTTTAAAACAAATCCAAAAAATCAGAATTCCGCCTGAAATGATCCTTATCCATTCCATTGGAAGACCAAAAAAAATTTTTACAATTTTAATAGTGCAATTAAAAAGAGAAGAAAGTGCTAAACGCTTAAGCAAATGAATCAATCTTTCGTGGGAACTCCAATTAATTAGAAAGGATGGTTTCAAATAATGAGGTAAGCAAAATTTTCGGCAAAATTAACGAATGGCAAAATGGATCACGAGAAAGAATTTTAGGATTATTTTGGCAATTAGAGTAAATCTGTCAATAAAATTAAAATCAGAGTGACGTTGGAGGTTTTCTGCTTTTAACTCCATTCCTAATGGCCACCGGGAATCTGTCAATTCAAAATGAGGAGTATTTTTAGAAGGATAAGAATTAGATTATTGCTTCATCTAACAATTTGATTAATTCACTTTATTTTTATTCCTAATTTTTATTCTAAAAAAGAAAAGACGAGCCAATTTTGTGGTAGAAAAAGATAAGCAAAAAGTATGAGTAATGGTTATTTTACCACGAGAAACAAATTTGCCACATGAAAATTGCGCAAAAATCTAATTGAAGAATAATAGTTGACATGGTTGTCACAGATGGCAAATTGTTAAAATGATAAACAATTTTTAAGCAAAGAGATTGGGACTTCTCTACTGATTATAAATTTGATTATAGATTTTGATTCGAAAATTATCGAATGCACCAATACCAAAAAAGTTATCGATGCAACAATGCCAATAACCTTTATAATATTTATTATAAATATTTCGGTTCCAAAATTATGATTATTGATGCTTCAAAAAATTTGCTAAATTTTATACTTTCTAGGTTACGCGTTGTTTCACAAGTAAATAAGCCCACTTAGCGCTCACCATTTCTGATAATTCCACTGGCTGTTAAAGATTTAAAATTTTTGCCAAGGAGCCATTTGATGATAGGAATATAGATAGATAAGCCAACACCGTTCAGATTTTTAAAATGACTTTTTAAATAATGATGGTTTTATATCTAGCGAAAATTTAAAGGTATCGAACATGAAAAGTTTGATGGAAATTTTTGAAACAAATTTTTACATTCATAAAATTTCTCAATAAAATTGATTACTGCAATGTTAAATCTTTTTCTGCTTTATTAACTCTTACGGTGATATCAACACCTTTGCCAGAGAATCAATTGAGAACAGAAGTACATGTGGATGGCCAGCACTATCCGGGCTTCAAGGTCGTCACAGAACAAACACATGACAATTGGCCTTAACTCGATGCAACAGACCATTCGACCATTTTATCTGCTCAGGCTATAGACTTATTAAGAATAGTTACTTAACGGAATTTTCGAAATCTTTGTCACTAAAAAACACTGGAAAAGTTTATAGCAAAATTCAATTTTTAACCAATTTTAATTTTTATTAATTTCAACTGGAAATAAGAAAAACGATTTAAATTTGACCAGACTGGATTTAATGGGAAAGAAAAAAACCGTTGACTGAAGCTAAATCTCCGCGAAATGTTTGGAGTAGAACGTCTTCTCTCCTTCTGTTGCTCATTCTGTGCGCACCGTTTAATTTCTATAGCCGGACGTTGCCGGTGTTTCAAGGATTGAGAGCGCAATGGCCTTTTCATTTCTTGTACCGAGTCTTGCCTGCAAAATTTTCAATATATCATAAAGAATGAAAATGATTCTTCGTGAATTCCTAATATCCGCTTATTAAGCCTAAGCTCCTTTCGCCAAACAGTCTCTTAAGCATAGAAGAATGTGCCATTCTTTAGAAGTCTTTAATTTTGAATCCTTAGAAAACATCGAAAGAAATATATCAATTAAATATCTTAAAAAATTTCGATATTCAAATGGCTTTTTTTTCAAGAAATTTCTCATAAACTTTTGGTCGGATTATTCAGATCTTAAGTTCGAATTCGACCAATATTTAACTGAGCTCACTTATCATACACTTTTTAGCCAGGAAAAATTCGGCTTGATTTATACGGTAAGAATCATAAATTCAACTAAACTATGATATATAAATTAAATTGTAAATAAACTACTAATCATTGCAATAGTTTTGTGATTATCAGGATTAATTTCTCGGCATAATCAAAGAGCTTTTTCGAACAGAGCGTATTATTTGGTTCACCTGGACTATTAAGAAAAAACCATTTTACCAAAAATTCATTTTTTAATACACATATGTACCTAGTACCATTCGAACCCGTTTCCAGACAACGTCTAAGAACTGAAGAAAGAGCATCATTCCGAAATGCCATTCATCCATTTTAAGTACAGGCAAATAAAAATTCATTTCTTATATTTAAGCATGTTATAGTGGTTTTCTGATTAAACTGGCTATTAAAAGAACAAAATTTTGCAAGGGATTATTTAGCATAGAAAGCTGTATTTGTCTACCAGCGAAAGCATTCCGAATTCTGATCAATAATAAATTCAACGATAATCTAAGCAAAAAGCACTCAAATATTCGACATCGCGTAGAGCGCAGCAGATCACTTAAAAATCATGGAGAAAAAAATTGCTGTAAATTATTAAGAAACATTTTTAGTTTTTTACTATTTTTTACTATAAATTATTTTTTTTTTGAAATAAACGAAAGAAAAATCTAAAAATGATTGAAGTTTTGCGATAGAGAAACTAAATAATTAGTAATTCATGAAAAATTTTTCAAAATTTACTCGAAAAGATGAACGATCAAAATTTTAAAATTTTGTAGAAGGAAGCCCTTTAAAACATCAACTATCGTTCAATGAAGAAAATGGTAGTAAACAAAGCAAATAATCAAAAAAAAAACCAGAATGTAGTTTCCAGAATGCTTTTCTGACACTCTTTAAAAAAAATATTTTTATAACTAATTAAAAATGCCAATTGATTCCAAATCGACTAAATGAAACAGTAAAAGTTACCGAGAAGATTTAAAATTAAGCTAAATGAAAGAAACAATTATGCCTGAACAATTATGGAATTTGAAGTAGAATGGTAAAGTGAAATTCCTTTGCCACATTTGAGGATAGAAATATTACTAAATCCTAATACCACTCGACTTTTATTTTTAATATGTATTCTTAAAGCGACGAACAGGATTGGAAGCGATGATGTTTGCTCATAATTTAAGTCATATCACATATCACTAATCATATCATTCGGCCATGCTAATTCTAATATAATACAAATAAATGGAATAAATTACGTGAAAATTCCAATATACCATCTTTTTTGTGCTACCAAAATACATATTTTATCATAATTTACAGAACCGTCCAGCGAAGAATGTGATTCAAAAGCACAGAATTAATGAACCCTAGAAATCTAAACTTATTCTATAAACTTCTTTTATAAACTTTTTATTATCTTTATTCACTGCTTTTAAATAATTTATCTAATAATTCTTTTCAAACTTCGATAAACTGAATGATTTTTTAAAAGGACAAGTTGGATATGCAAATTTTAAAAGAAAATTATGAATTAGATCAATATACTTCGGATAAGAATGTAAATATAATCTTAAGAACAGCAAGTTGAGCTCCCGCAACTTCCAATTAGGCTAGTTCCACTTCTTTTTTAACATGGTTAGAAATTTTTGCCACAATAGGAAGGTGTAGTGATCATTTGGAAACGTAAGTGGGTCGACAGCACGACTTAGATTTTTCACTGGCTTGCTCTTGTCACAGCTGAATTATTATCTTTCTCCATGATAATCTGAACTGCTTATCATAATCACTCGGTTATACTGTCTCCTCTCAAGATGATAATAAAAGGAAAGATTCAGTTACAATCTTACAATCTTTAATTTGAACGCGAAGATTGGTTTTCATCGTTTTTTTTTCATCAAAACCTGTTAACAAACAAATAAAACTTATTGTTAATTCTTCTTCAATAGGTGTTTTTAGCATATATGAGAAAATGATAAAATTCTAATCATCGAAGAAAACGGACTGAATATTAGCCAATCCTAATTAGAAAATTTTTAACATACTGATTTTATTGATCATTAATGTTTGTTAAATATTTCATTTCAAAGGGTATTTATTTCATTTATTTTATTTCATTTCATTTCAATATTTCATTACAAAGCGTTGCCATCCTCGTAAATTCGCTTCAATATCGATATATGTGGAATGTATATTATCGCACTTTTATACGAACTTCATTGACAAATCAGCAAAAAATAATTTTGCATTATCCATGTAATGAGATATTTTACAAGGATGGCAGTTTCTTAGCACTCGCTTACGGCCAAGTTTCTCCCACAATGACTTAGCACTGCACATAACTTCTGGCTCGGTTCCACTGGATATATTCGTTTACCAGTCGTTTTTTACCAGAAGAATAGCGGAAATTAGTATAAAAATAGGATACAATAAGAAATAAAAAAAAGAACTACAATATCATTAAGTTTTTTATTTATGTCGTATTTTGCTTCATTTATAACATTTAATTTTCCACATTATGTTGCATAGCACTCGATTTTCCTTGTAATCCAGCAGTAAACTTAAACCAGCAATCAATGGAATTAAAATTAGAGAAATCTCTAATTTTCTTAGCCTTCTATAAATGAATAATTCATAAAGTGCACTTCTCTTGCCAATGCAAAATATGATTAAGCAAATTTAAGCTTCCCAACATTTTCTGGAAATCTTGAAAATCTAGAAATCTAGAAAATCTTCGCAAAATCTTTCTACAAAAGATATTTTGCAAATCTCAGATCTATGTTGATCTCTTAAAATTAGTTGTCTAAAATTAATTTTCCAGGAAATCGAAGCATTCAGATTGAAAAGTGTGATAAGTAAATGATTAGAAGTAAGTGATTATTAGCTGAATGGCTTAACTTGGTGTAGAATTCTGCGTCTTTAGCTCAAAATAAAAACGATAAATAATTATTACTTTTGAAAATAAATTATTTTGGACTTTTATTCCATAGATATTTGATAAATCCAGAATTATTAGACTTCAAGATTAGATTTTTTGACTATATTTTCTATAAAATTTGGTTTATTTACGCAATATTGAACAAAATCCATGATATGTGATTCATGGACAAAAAATTATCAATTCTCGAAGGTGTTCGAAGATCATTACTTCAAAAAACAATTATCCATGCAGAAATAAAGCTATCATGGAAAGCTAAGCAATTATATTTCAGACTCAAGTCATCCGTCACTCTTCGTTAATACTCATTAAAACTTGAAGGTTTTTAGAAATCCAAATAATATCTATGGAATAAATATTCCCTGAATGTTTTTTGCTGAATTATCCCTAAATGATCCCTAAAATGTTTTTTGCTGAAAAATTTATTATATAAATAAATAAATATAATGAGAATATAGGAATAATTATCAACTTCTGCATTCACCATTTACCATTTTTAGTCTGTCTGACTCTAATAATTGGATAAGATTAAAGGGTTACTTGGATATAGAAGTATATGCGAATCGCCAGTACCATTTCGATTTCTTTTTTTTCTTAATAACAGGTTTATTTCCCGTTTATTTCCCGTTTCAGTTTATCGTTTCAGAAAGTAAGAGCCTACTTCCTCACGAGTCTATTATAGCTTCATTATAGATGAAGCTATAATAGACCATTATATATTCCGTTATATAAATTATGAATAAAATAATATAATTGTACCATCCACCTTTGAAATCTTTTTTTTAAAGTTATTTAACAATTCTCTTCTACTCTTTCAGCAAAATAAACTGCTAAATAAAACAAATAAGTTATAGATAGGTCGCCAGAGCCACTCGCATTTTCAATTAAAAATTGAACTTCTGATGCTCAGCATACATCAAAAAAACCATATCATTCAATAGTCACTACACCTTTCCTAAAAAAAGTTCCAATAATTACGACCATCGACTAACCTAAAATCATCAAAATAAATATGGTTTTTTAAGAGCCTTTAAACAGAAGATGCATTGAAAATATTATTCACTGTTAGTTTAAATTTATTAAAAACTTAAAAGATTGGTACAGCAATAACAATCATATGGTGGTGACAGCTGCAAGAGAATTCAGAATTCGTTGTAATTCTATGATAATCACTAAGCCTTTTCGCTTATATTGAAGCTACAATTTCATTTAATTGCGCCTTAATATAATATTTCATGTAATAATTGGTATAATTTCCGTACAGTGACTCACATTAGCCTGTTAACAAAATTTTCATAGATTATTATTGAAGCTTTTGGATTTAACAAAATTTGTAAAATATTACTTGGTACCTGATAACAGAGTGGATAATGTTGAGAGACAAGTTTTTCTTTCTACTCCAAATAGGATTAAGTCTGTTATTCAAGATCTAGAATTGCCCTAACCAGGAATAGTCTCTCACCTTGTTTATTCTCCCTGAATTCTCATTTTATATTCGTAACAAAAACATCTTTTTTAGCGTTCACTTATAGCTTTTTTATCCATTGAAAGATAGTTCCAAATGTTCCAAATTTTGTCTTATTGCATAAAACATGTTAATTAAATTCGCTCAAGAAAAGTTCCAATAATAAAGAGAGACGATGATATAAGAATGATAGAATGATTATATAACTGTAGTTTTGAAGCAGCTGTAGTTAAGAAATGGTAAGCAAAGAAATAAACTGCAAAATTGGAAAATAACTGAAAATGAATTTGCAAAGAATCTGAAAAAGCGAATTAAAAAAATAATAAATAAAAAATGAAAATAAATGAAGTTTGATTTAAAAAAAATCGAATAAAATTTTGCAAATTTTAATGAATAAACGGAATATCTCAGCATCCAGAAAATTCCTCTTTTCCTCTTCTTACCAGAAAAATCTATAAAATATGAGAAATATAAGATGTTATGACATCAAACTGAATAATTCCCTAGAAATTATTGCAACATGCAGAAAAATATTTTCAAAAAGCTTTTGGTACAACAATTTACGATCAATTTAAATCCAAGGTAAGGTTAAACATTGAACTAGAAAAAGCAAAAAGAAAACCTGGTCTTGCAATTTTAAAAAAAAAGAAAATATAGTATATCATAATTTCGCATATAAAATTAATTTTATAGCTTTTTGGTTTATCCAATTAATTTTAAAGAAGAAGGTTGTCGAGTGGCCCTTGCTAAAATTATTGTCCCGAATATCAGATTTGGACTCCAACAAAAAGGAGCCCCGTTAGAAAAATTTATCTACAGCCAAATGATTCTCTGGTAAAAAACTTACCTAAAATTAAAACCAGCTAAAATTCTAATCATAAATGAGAAGCAAATTACACAAGAAATTATATTCTTGAGTTTTTA